GGCGGCCGTGGGCATGGCGGACGGCTGCGGCGGCCCGGCCAGCGCGTTGGGCGGAGTGATGGCGCGGCCCACGCGGAGATATTGTCCGCCGAGGTCGAACAGGTTCATGGACGCGATGGCCTCGAGCGCGGCGGGCAGAGTGGCGTACTCTATGAACCCGTACCCTTTGTGCTTGTGCGCGGACGCGCCGTACGCCAGTTTGCAATATGTGATCGGCCCGAAAGCTTCGAAAACACTACGAAAAGATAAAAAATTCATAATCAATATTGAGTTTCTATGATATAATGACTGCCTCGTTGCCCGAGTGGTCGCAAGTGCGACTGCCGGGCAAGGGGCTTCAAGCAATTCCCAGGTCGGTTAAAGTAATACTGGATTTTAAAAAAATTCTTAGTAGTAGCACGAAATCTGGGAGTTGTGCCCGGTATAGGGCAATAGGCTCACCCCCTATTACGTGTGTATGTGATACAGTCGTCAAAAAGAACGTTACTTTTTAATATCATCTTCAGTGAGCTCCGGGTGGATGGATGCGACATAGATGCGGTTGTATTGTTTGGCTTCCTCCTGGATCTCGTCGATGACAGCTTGCGCCTGCGGCATGTTGGACGGCCGCCCCACTACCTTGATGTTCCTGCGGGCGAAAGGGATAAGTAGTAGTTACTAGGGGTATTATACTAGTGAGTGACGACTTTGGTATTGATGATTTACTGCCTTATTAACATGTAAAAAAACCTTTAAATTCATCTTTTCTAGACATTAATATTCCTTATTATTATATTTTTGATGGTAATTGTGAAGCTAATATGGTAGGTAAATTTAATTAGGAAATACTTGTACATCATTTGCATGCCGTAACGGCAAGAGGCGGAGAACCTTACTGAGCGTAATGTTAAACACCTATTGTATTTTTGTAACACATGTATGCAACCGAAATAAATAAAGCTTTAATCACCTGCCGCCCAGCATGACTCCGTTCATCTGTTCGAGGCTGAGCTGCGCCGCTTCGGGGATCTCGTACTCGACGAAGGCGAAACCTTTGTGCTTCTGTGTGACAGGGTCCCACGACATGTTGATCGACTTGATCGGCCCGAACGGAAGGAATGCCTGCCGTATCGTGTCCTCCTTCAACTCAAATGATATCGAGCCCACATATACTCTGATGAAAAATACGGCACATTAAAATGACACGAATTACGTAATTATCCATATTCACTATCAAGCTGTAGTCAGATCTTTTCAGCACAACAAATCACAGGCTCGACCAGCCAATAGCGGGAGCCTCTAACATATCGCTGTCATCATACTAAACCGTATGTACGTATGTGTGTGTGTGTGTATATACGTACCTGCACATGAGTGCGAGCGCCTGTTGCCTCTGGACCTGCGTCCGCTGCGACGCCATCTGTTGTTGTTGGTGCGCCAGGGTTTGCTTCATCAGCACCATCTTGATGCTCTGCTCCATGGCGTACTTCTTGGCGCGCGCCACCGCCTCGGCCTGCTCCGACGACAGCCGCGGCAGCGAGCCGCCCAGTATGGCGGGCAGCGTCGAGCACTTCGCCCCCGGACCTGTGACGCAACATGGACCTATACCACGGCTCGCGACACGCACGGCCCGCGTCATGCCCGACCACTCACCTGTGAACACATCTCCGACCTGCTGCAAGTCGTAGATGGGCGCCGAAGGGAAGCCACCTGTAAATGCAAAACTCGATTAGTCAGTGTCAATTGCGTCCAAGTGGCAAACAGTAGTGGACGCAGGCACACGCGCAGGCACACATCGCTGGCACGCCGCGCGCGCCCCGCGCCCGGGCAGCCCGGGCCGGCGGGCCGGTCGGGC